GAGAAGCTGAACACATGTGGGATTGTTGCACGACGGTTAAATGTAAGAATGGCAAACACAAAACAATAAGTAACAATAGATTAGAAGGTAATGGTTTCCAAGACTGCTAAAAAATTAAAGCTTTGAATATAAAAACAAGAGAGGAATGACACGTCTAGGGAAATCTCAGTCGACAGATATTTATTGTGTTCCGGTGATAAGAAGGATTACCTAATGTATCTGTGTTGTTTAAGAGGATTATAATGTTTTCAAAATAAGATTAAGTCCCGTTTTTATAGAAAAGTAGTTCCCACCTCTTCATTTGAGAAGAAAGAGAAAAATAACAAAAACAGATTATGCAAACCTCACATGCCTGTCGTCAAATATGAAAGATTTTTATAGCCTAAACTGAGTACCATTTTTCCAGGAATTACATTTTCTGTTCAGCTTCAAGTAGCTTTTAGGTTGTACTTATTTAATCGTGAATAATAACATTTGAATTTTGATATTTTTTTTTATACGATACTGTTGTCCAATCTCAAATGTTATGTATCTAAATAGTATTTATTCTTAACATGATATATTTCTTGATATATTGATTTTTTTAAATAAATACACGAACTAAGTTAAGTGGTATAAATTTGAAGATACATGAAACACAGTTTATAGTATTTCTTAAAAGTTAATGAATTTACCATATTAAACAAACCTCAATTATTGTCGAACTTGCAACAATACCAACAGTTTACACCTCAGGTGGCACGTGTTTAAACATAATCAAAGACTAGTTACGTTTTGAGTGGCACAGCGGTATGTCTGCGGACTTTAACAGCGCTAGAAACTGGGTTTCGATACCCGTTGTGGGCAGAGCACAGATAGCCCTTTGTGTAGCTTTGTGCATAAATTCACAACAAACAAACAAATAAACTTACTGATTAAATACTAGTTGGAGTAACCCGTCCCCTGGATGGAAGTTATGTAAATTTATGATTAATGAAAGGTTATCTTAGGACATGAAAAGTTGCTTCCCTTATATGTAATTGTAAAAAAAAATGCAAGAACGCCCATAAAAATAACAAAACAGGAAATGTGAAATCGCAGCTTTGCAAGTTTCTCCGCATGTACCAAACAAACCTTCATGTCAAATTTGGCGAATATCCATCTACGGGGGGCGAAGTAGTGGTAAAAAACGCAAAAACGCCCATAAAAGCCGCAAAATGCAAAAATGAACATTTGTATGTATCTCCCCATGGACCCAATGAACCTCCATACAAAATTTGGTGAAGATCCATTCTCACCCTGCAAAGTAGTTACATGGACATACAACAGACAGTACTTTATATTTATATAGATAACCAAAGAATATTTCATATTGTTTAAATTTAAGTCTGCTAAATATTGTTTAAATCTAAGCCTATTTCATTGTTGATAAACTAAATCTAAGTCTATTTTATAGGGTTTAAACTATTCACTTTATTTCACATTTATAAGCTTGTGGAAGTTAATAAAACTAT